AAAATAATAATCGTTTTATTTCGATTACATTGTTTTCGTAATCGTTGCACGCCAAAATCGTAATCGAGATTAAAATACGATTAATTGCACAGCCCTAATGCAAGTGTATAACGTGTGCTTGAGAGCATTCTAGATGCGTGTTTGAGACTGTTTCACATGTGTGTTTATGAGTGTTTCAAATGTGTGTTTTCTGTATAACGTGTGTATGAAAGCATTTCAAATGGGTATATGACAGCGTTTCACCTGTATCATGTGCATAATAGCACGTGTCACATGAGTGTATGTAAGCCTTTCACATGTGTATATGAGAGCGTTTAATATTTCCTTTTTTCTTTCTTCCTCTTTATCCCTCCCTCTCCTTTAGGAACGGTGATTGCCCGTCTGGCCGTGTTTCCGGTCATCGTGAAGGGCAAGAGGGAGGCGGCCAAGCTGCACAATGTTATGGCCGTGTTTGGCAGACTGAATAACCAGATGAGCGAGGCGCAAAACAGTGGAAATAAATTAGAATGTAAAATCTCGTTCTTCTTCTACATTTCATTTGTCTTTTGAGCCACCATTTAGAGTTCTGTTTGTGTTTGTGCTTGTGAAGACATCCAGCTTCAACAACTTGTCATGAGCTGTCCTTTCTATGTTTCAGTTGCCAAAGCCTCCTTTCGGCTGAGCTTGTTCAAGAACCAGCTTAATGTGAACCCTCTCCGCGGATTCATTGTACCTTTGATTCAGGTCAGTTTATCTCTCTATCCTGAAATGTGAGTGAATTTAGTCCATTGCTGTCCTTAAGTACAATTTCAGGGTAATTTTACTTAACTTTACACTTGTACTCCACTACATTTTGGATCTCACTACTGTACTCTATACTCCACTACATTTATTTTTAAACATTGAGATCTAATTACATGTTAACATATCTATTAGCAGTTAACAAAGTAATTGTAATAGCACCAGCTTTACCGTCTGTAATGCATCGGTAATCATAATCCAGTAATTAAATAAATATTCTGAAATGGGCCATAATGCCTAATGAGTACTTTTTAGTAGTTTAATATACTTTAATGCAAATACCTTTGAACTTTGAGTTAACAGAGTTATTTTACAATTAACTAAGTTTCCTTGTAATTCTATACATTGACCTTTTGTTGAGGCTACATTACAGGAAATGCTTCATGTGCCACCTGCTGTTCACATTAAATACTGCAGTGCCAACTGTTCTAAAGAGGGACCTTCACATTTCTAAAATGTGGATATGGCAATCATTTTCTCTGTTAAATTACAATACATTTTGTTAGTCATGGTACAATTCTGGTCACCTGTGTGAGTACCTGCATCAAAGAGTTAACAGAAAATAGAAAGGGTAATACTATATGTGTTTTATTGATTATCACTTAATACCATCAGGATAAATCCCTCGCGTGTTCCTCCAGGCCCCAGTCTTCATCTCCTTCTTCATGGCGCTGAGGAAGATGTCTGAACTGCCGGTGCCCAGCATGCAGAGCGGAGGCCTGCTCTGGTTCCCCGACCTGACGGCAGCAGATCCTTTTTACATCCTCCCTGTAATCGTCACAGGAACCATGTTCTTCATCCTGGAGGTCAGCAGGCTTTGACCTAACTTGTCTTACAGAAAGACATTAAAGAAAGAAAGCCAAATAATCACCGCATTGTCGCTTTATCTTTTAGTTTGGTGCCGAGTCTGGTGTTGAAAACCCCCAACTGCGACACTTGAAGACTGTGTTCAGGATCATGCCTTTTGTCGTCCTCCCTTTCACTATCAGCTTCCCCACAGTGAGTCAGTTTACTGTTTTAACCTCAAATCACATCTTACATTCTGTAAATGCATCTAAATGACTGCAGATTTCTTAAAGTGGACCTATCATGCTATATTTGAAAAATATATTGTAGGGCCATACCTATACAAAACATGTCTGTGAAGTTTTTTTTTCAAAATACCAAACAGTTCACCCATTGTAGCCATGCCTCATACTGCTCAAACCCCTCTTTTGAAGCCCTGTTAGAGAAACGCGGATCTTGGGTCCTTAGCTTGAAAAAAGAGGAGGCGGAGCTAATGCCTGATCAGAATTCTACTGGAGATAAAGTAAAATTCTGCTGTGAAAAAACGCCATCCTGTTTAAACCACGTCAAGGATTATTTCTGAAATAGTATGGAGCTCAAATGCTTTTTCTCTTGCGGGTTTATCACAAGGTGAGTTCTTTTTTTATTTCCTGCTTTTTAAACACATGTGCAGTCTACAGTACAGGTTAGCTCTGAGTGTTAGCGAGGCTTGCTAATGTAAACAAAGACGAGATTACGTCCAAAACACGTCAGGCATTGTTTCTGATAGCAACTTTCTGTGGGTCCGCCGCCGATTTGACGTCAGTTCGGATGTAATCTGTATCCGCTCGTTGTACACCCGTTTTTAAAAGATTTGGGTACGGAGGAAAAGAGAGAGGGTTTTATTTTCTGACGCTGCGTGAGTTCCCCGACGCACCGGGGACACATATTTATGTATAAAAGACATCACAAAGTGCATTTTGCATGATAGGTCCCCTTTAAATTAATTGTCAACCCTTTTCTCTTCTACCAAACCTCAGGCGGTGTTCACCTACTGGCTGACCTCCAACTGCTTCTCCCTGGGTCAAGTCGCCCTGCTCAGACACCCATTGGTCAGAGAGAGGTTAAAGATCCCGGCGATGATCCCACACCCAATCCCAGCCAACAGTGACGGCTTATTGGAAAGCATCAGGCAAAGTAGGTGTCCGAACTTGCATCTAATAGATTACGATTTAAGGCCAAGTCAGTTGTCTTACATGTTGGAAATGTCTCGTCTGCAGGCTGGAAAAACACTCAAATGGCCCGAGAGCTGGCAGAGAAACAAGGAAGAGTTTAAAATCATCTGGACCTCGCTGCTTAAGGTCGGTTCATCAGCTTCACATCCACAGATGTTATTCTTATTGTGGCTTTATTTCAGTCGCTAAGAAACTCTCTAAATGTAATTTCTCTAAATGAGAATAAAGGATAATAAAAAGTGCTATATGACTTCTCTTTATTTTTCTCTGCAGGGCCACTGAGGCAGACTTTTACCCACAATCCCCTCCGGCAACACCCATGGCTGCAGCGTCAGAGGAAGACGGAAAAGCCTGCTGGCAAGGCAGAGCAGACTGAAAGTGATTTATGTAATTATTTATGAATGGAAGAGATGACAGAGAAGGAGACCATTGTAATTATGTTATCAATAATTATGTGTATTATATCAGGGATGCAAACTTGTCACCTTTCGGCGAAATTCGCCGTTTTGATTCCAAAATAGGTCGTTTGTGTGATTCATGTAGATCTGCAATAAAAATATTTTTGGGGTATGGGGGGGGGTCTGGGACCCGGAGTAATCTGCGGCCGCGAGCTGTTATGTGCCATCATGACACGCAAGGTGTTATTTTTTTATATATTATAATGAAGCGGGAGCACAAGTCTTCCTGCCTGTCAGCTCTGCTCATGGATGTATAATAAGGCTCTGCTGCTCCGGGATGAGGGTCTAGCTTCAGCAGCTACATTACCTACGGTGCGTTCGTTAATATTAACTGTGCGGTCCAGAGTCACTGTGGCACAGACTGGACCGCTGGTTAGAACGGGGTGTTCGGAGCAGCAGAGCGTGATGTGCACTGAAAAGTGTTTCTGTCGCAATATTATTTAATGAATCGTTGAGCTAGCTAACTAGCATACATTGTCACTATCTGCTAACGTTAGCTTTAGCCTTCGTTTTCAAATAGTTTCTTTCATAGCCTATAAACGGAGGTGGTATAAGTATCTTGTACTTGAGTAAAAGTAGAAGTACTCAGATCTTGTTCTTGAGTAAAAGTTGAACTACTCAGGTCTTGTACTTGAGTACAAGTAGAAGTACTCGGATCTTGTTCTAGAGTAAAAGTAGAAGTACTCAGATCTTGTACTTGAGTAAAAGTAGAAGTACCAGAGTGTAGGAATACTCTGTTACAGTAAAAGTCCTGCATTCAAAAATGTTCCTCAAGTAAAAGTATTATCATCAAAATATAGTTAAAGTAGCAACAGCAAAAGTAGTCATTGTGCAGATTGGTCCATTTCAGACTAATATATATGATATGTTTTATAATGATTGATCATGAAAGTGTTCTCAAAGCTGGTAAAGGTGCAGCTAGTTTGAATGACTTTGTATACTGCAGGGTAGCTTGTGAATTTACTCCAGGTGGAACTAAAGTCTGATTTAACACTTGATTATATTTCACATCATTCATCCACATCTGTGAAGTAACTAAAGGTATTCAATACATGTAGTAGAGTAAAAGTACACCATTTACCTCTGAACTGTAGAGGAGAAGAAGAACAAAGTAGCAAAACATTGAAATACTTAAATAAAGTACAAGTATCTAAAAAGTGTACCCAAGTATAGTACTTGAGTTTATGAACTTAGTTACTTTACACCACTGGCTATAAAGATAGAAAGACAGCCTTGCACAGAGGCATGAAAATACATTTTCAAAATGCTCAACAGTCCTGCCAAAATTATAAACTGACTGCTACACAATTAAAATAAATGCTTAAATATATTTCTATTAGATGTGACTCTTTGGCGTTTCTGTTATTATTAACTGCTGCTTTAGTTGTTCTGACTGCTAAAATCCTCTGTTATTCCTCATTTTAAAGCCGATATTCCGTGGGGTCGGGGGGCTCGGATCCTTGTCACCTTTTTCATACCTGATGAGTTTGCATCCCTGATTATAGTAGTAATTAAAATGTCAAGTCATTTTCAAAACAACCACTTTGGTGTAATGTTGTGATTTTTTTCATAAAACTTAGCTGCAATGATGAGTCAACTGATCAGTTAGTGGATTGGCCCTAAAATAATGCTGTTTAGAGAGGTTTTCTTGCCTTTTATGTTATTAAGGTGAATTTCCCTGGGTTTGGGAATAAAAAAAGACATACATTTAAGTGAATCCACTTCCCTAGAAACATACTTGGAAATCAAAGACATTGGTCGATTTATGTTGTCGAGAAGTAATTTTATTATAAATACTTGCTTGCAGCTCAACTGTCACAAACTCTTACATTTAAACACCATGTTTAAATCACAAGAAAGTACATTTTAGTAAAAATAGCCCTTCACTAGACATCACAGCTGACAGTATAAAACATTATTAACCTTTCCTCCCACATGAGTGAGCGTGGGAACATAAATCTCTTTTACGGCTTGATTTTCTTTGTGCAAATTATAATAAAAATAACACCAAGGATGTTCCTACGGTCAGCAATGCAGCAGCACACAATTTCTTACAATAATAATTTGCCACCTTCCAATAAAATTGAAAAACTACACAAAATACCGGTCCTGACGTGTGAATTAAATAATTCTCTACAAGTTCTGTCGTATAAAGAGGTGTTGATTAATTCAGGAGTGCATTCAAATGTTCCCTCTGAAGTCAGCTGGAGTGAAATGCTGGCCATCAGTCACCCGGGCAACATCAGGATGATTGACAGGTCAGAGAGCTGGGTCCAGCTCAAGCCCAAATGCTTATTCGTCCATCGAGGCCTTGAGGCGGCTGGCCACGATGCGTTCAGGTTCTACATTTGTGCGTTTGCGGGTCTCCGGCAGGCTGTTGATAACCAAACGTCTACTCTTCGTGGTCCATTTCAGTCAGAACAGAGAAGCACACCTTCTGGATCACCACGCCGAATTTAGCTGAAAGAAATGAAGACAAGAGGAAAGTTTAAACGATCTGTTCATGTACCATTACACCAAATCCAGATGTAAGCATTGACAACATCTTTTAAGTTGACATCATTAATGTTAAAGCACTCTGCAGCAGCTATGATATCATGTTAAGGAAATAGCTCGACCCAACTTGAACATGTCTAGCACTCGGTTAAAAGACAGTTAGGCTGGAACATTTCCCAGGGTGCACTGCAGTTTTCAGAAATACACCCTTTAATTTAGCAAGTTAGATACATCACTGTGAGTCTTGTTTGTGGTGAAATTGGCATAAATAATCAGATATTTTTCTATAGTTTCAGACAGTTTGTTATATTTTCTTTTAAATCATGCCCTCACACCATTTTTGGTAAAGGAAGGTCTATCATTTTTCTTTGTGTTAAGATCAATATTGTGTCCTGCAATTCTCCCTGCTTCTCTTATTCTCCTTCCTCAGGTAAATCTTCATTACCCCTCAGCCAAATAACATCTATTTTTGCACCCTAATCCTTTTTAATTCCCTCCTTGGACATTAGAGCCAATTATCCAACAGGAATCAAACTGGTCAGTGGCTTTGAGGTTACTTAAGACCCCTGCTGTTTTAAAGTATGTCAATGATGGTTTTAATGTATGAAAGCAATGTGTTAATCCTGCAGTTTTCTTACCGATGAATCTCCGTAGCGCCAGCGGCCTCTTCGTGGCCGGAGTGTAGATGCAGAGGAAGTACACGGGAATTCCCGACAGGGCAATGCCGATACCGATCAGAGAGTTGATGGTGTCACTGTAGAGCGGCACCACCACCAGGAAGACGGTGAGGAGGCAGAAAACGATGGGGAAGATGAGACTGAGCTGAGGGACGAAGAGAAAATAGAGTTGAGGGTTACAACATAAAATTATAGGATAAACATTATTTCTATAGCACCTTTCACAACCAGTTACAAGGTGCTTTACAAGTGCAGATAAAATACAATACCATACATTTTTAGCCCTTGGATTGTTGTTATAAAAAGAAAAAATGTTATTTTCCTTTACAGTTATTGACAGTATCAACAACCTGTGGAAGTAGTGGGCGTGCAACTGGAAATATGAGATTTGGATTACACTTTTTGTGTTGTGTTTGAGTTTTTTAACGGATGTTTAGATGTAGTTTTGCTCTTGCTAAATTAGGCCACCATTGACTTCAATTAATTGTGACTTTTCACCACTTTTGGATTCTTTGTACATTGTTTTATTCATGACTTTAAGGTAAGCCAGGGTGAGTAATTGATAAATAAATGGTCCTTTTGTTGGTGAATTACTATGTGATGTCACATTTGAAGATGAAAATAATTGGTGTGTTGAGTTGTATTGTGGGTAATGTAGGCTGCAGGTGATATCTCTGGTTCTGTTTCTTACCTTTAGCGGCCTCTTCCTGTCCGGCTGCTTCCAGCGCAGATACAGTTGCCCCAAAATGGACAGCCCGACGAAGAACCAGTAGCTGAAGCTGTAGTAGTTGATCAGCCTGAAGACGTCTTCCACACACAAGTATATCAGAGCCATGACGCCCTGCGGAGAGGAACAAGAAACAACCCCAGTCAGACTGTGATGGACGCAACAGGGGAATAAAACAGATGTCATGTGATGGACAGGAAATGATCGATGAGGGTTGACTGACGTTGAAGAGCAGCGCGGGGATGGGAGTGTAGCGATGGACGTGGATCATGCACAGGTAGTCTGGCAGGTGGCCCTCTCTGGAGCCCACGAAGAACAGCCTTTAGAGACACAAAGAAAATGGACGATGATGTCGAGCTACTCGTAAAACCAAAAACAAGAGAAGACTAACACTTGTGATGTCATCAAGTATAGAGTCTGGAGCTGCTGCATATCCTTATGCTGGATGACGTCACACATTTGAGTTTTATCACACGTTTGCTTGTGGATTTAGGAAAGATTTTGTCCAATCTACTCATATTTTTCGACTGTTTTATACAATAGGAAATCCCTGCACAAGTTTCGAAAAGGGGCGTACTTCCCCTTTAAGATTTTGCTCCTTTGCATTGAATAATATCCAGAGCTTGACAGACTTAGATGCCCTCAGAATATGGAAACATTGGTTGCGATCGTAATTATTCCTCCTGTTCAAAGTAATGTATGGTTTTCATACTTTAAGATATAAATGTTGATGTGCTTTCAAAATCCACAGCAATGTCATACTAAAAAAAGACTTCATATTGAAGGTGCTCTCCAGATTTGGCATATCTTCAGCTAGAGTTGACAACATATTCTGTCGCTGTTGGACACAATGAGTAAGGCGCTGATAACACGGAGATGAAATGACAACAAAACAAGTTCCCTCACCTGGAGGAAGCGAGGATGGAGGCGTTGAGTCCTCCGAAGCAGGAAAAAGCCACCGCCAAGGGAATGGTCCAGTTCATGACGCCAAACACCTGGTCTGCAAACGTCTAGAAACAAGAGAATGAATGGTGTTAATGCACTTGATGGACTCAAAGTAATTAGAATGAGAGTCCCTTTTATTCGTCCCACAAAGGGGAGATTTACATTGGCACAGCAAGCACAGAGAGAGATGAACTTACCACAGCCACAGCATCACTGTCTAAGATTGCGTTCATGGGCAGGACGGCGTAGTAAGCCACGTTTGTCAGGATGTAGATGACGGTGACGATGGGCATGGAGATAGCGATGGCCAGTGGAAGATTCCTGTAGTTCACCAAGACAACCAGCAGAGGGAAGCAAAACAAATGAGAAACAGAGGCTTTAGACATCTTAAGGTCAAGAGCAGATCGACCCCGTGGGTGAGGGGAGGACGGGGATTGTGATAAATTGGGGCCGTTTGTCACTTAATCTCCCTGGGAACTCTGGGAGAGGCTTGTGATCCAATCACATGTGTAGTCTTACTTCATTTGATCAGTGTTTGGCTCTGTGAATCACACCAAAGGGCTCAAACACACACACACACACACACACACACACTCAATGTGATTGTTTCCTATTGTCTGAGACATCAGAGCAGAACTGGCAACCTTTGTGCAAGGAAAGTAAGCGTTTCCTTTGGCTTTACAGGAATAATCTTGTGAAGTTAACTGTAGTAAGTGGTCACAGATTGCAGAAAGGTTGTTTTAAAACTAGTAATATATCAGCAGAAGACAATACTCCAACCTAAATCATCACATTTTTCTTATCTATGCCTAGGGGAAGTACAGAATTCTGATATAAAGGAGAACATCAATATCTGTGAACATGACTTCCTCTCTCTTAAAGCCAGAAACCGAAACTTGTGAAGTCATCAGGTATCAAATCTGGAGCGGCTGCATATCCTTATGCTTGATGACATCACACATTTGATTTCTAGCACATTTGCCTTTGGGTTTTTGAGAGATTTGTCACATTAACTCATATTTAACTGTCTTATACCATAGGAATTCCCGTGATGAGTTTTTCAGAAATGGCATAATCTCCTTTTTTTACAGATTGTTCTCTTAATTGAATAGTTTCCAGAGCTCACCAGACGTAGATGCCCATTAGAATATTGCGTTAAGCTTCATACTGTAAGAGATACTTTTTTGTATGTGCTTTTAAAATCCACAGTTCAATTAGAAGCAATGTCATACTGAAAAAGACTTAACTTTGCAAGATGCTCCCTGAATTTGGCATATCTTCAGCTACATTTTACAATATATTCTGTCTATAAAGCGTGAATCAAGCCTAATTTGATCCAAACTAAAGATTGCTTTTATTTCGTATGTACTATTCTCTCCTCACCTCTCTGGGTTCTTGATCTCCTCTGTGACAAAGTTGAGGGTGTCCCATCCCGAGTATGAGAACAGAGCCGAGTACAGAGCCAGAGCGATGTGTCCTGCATCCTGAGACGAGTCATCGAAAAGCCCCTCGAAGTTCTGTGTGTGACCTGGAAAACACCGACACATTCATTTCATTTTAAGCAGAAATAATCACCTGTGTAAGTCTAGTTATTATCTAGCATTTGGTAAGATATTGGTGGGTGCGAGATGAGTTATTGACCTTGTCCGATCCTCGTCAGGCCGGCGATGATGACTGCGATGAGGGCGATGACCTTGGCGTAGGTGAAGAAGTCCTGGACCCTGGTGCCCCACTTTACATAGGCACAGTTCACAAAGGTCAGCAAACCTGAGGTAAGTGAAAGAAACCAAAATACATGCATGAATATGGATCAATAAAACACACAGAAACTAATCATTTAATATTCCGAGTGGGTGACATTTGCTCTGTAAACTGAGTGTGTGCCGGCATGTTTCCGTGTGTGATTTAAGGAAACGCTGCTGCTGACTCAAGCAGACTGGCCATTTGTTTTTCAGACGAGGAAACAGCTGAGTGCAGCACATACAAGCTCACACACACACAGAAACACACACACACACACACACAGGTACAGTTGGAAGTCGGTCACTAAATATTGTATTGTTCTGCTGGAGGCTGGAGATTTTTTAACATTATTGACTCAATGACTGATAGGGAAAACTGCTACTTCTATCCTTATTGCAACTTCTTGGAAAACATGTTTTCGTGCTTCTTTCTGTGACTTATCTCTCTCAGGCCTCTTATCAGCACGTTATCCCTTCAAGTTCAGAAACGTGGCACAAATTATCCAGCTGAGTGGAGACATTGTATCTACAAGTTCACCATGTCAGAGCGCTTCCTCTCACTTATCGCTCAAGACGTTAGGACATCACTTCCCCCCCCCCCCCCCCCCTCCTCTTTGTTGTTGACCACCTTCATCCGCAGTGAGGGGACGTATCATAACACTATCATCTTCCATCACTTTGACAGGTAGAGGATCATAACTAGCCCCTTCCCAGCAGGAGGTCCGGTCAAATACAATAAAGCCCAGAGCGAGAGGGAGACTTTGCCACACAGAAGTAGGGGCGTGGTGTGTTGACAGTGAAAGGTTAGGAGGGTGGGAGGTGTGAGATCGGGTAAGGAAGGTCAAATACGGTCCAGATGTAGAGAAAAAATAATATAGAATAATGTACATTCGGTGAGTGAATAAGGTGTTTTTCTTACCGCTGATATATCAAAAAAGTAGTTTTCGTAAAAGTTGCCATTTATTTCTGTCATGTGGTTTGAAAAGTGGAGAAAGAGGGTCGTTTCGGAGATTTGTTAAGCCCATTTCCACAAAAAAACATTGAAAAAAATATTAAAATGTAGTACTGAGTAAATAACCATTAGGAAAAAGAAAATTATGTATACGAGTCAAAAGTATGTGATATTAAGTAAACATCATGATTAACCATTTACAAGAGTATTCAATCCTGATTATGAAATACTAAATCAAGAAGTGTGCTTTATAAGGTATGATTATTAAAGAAATTAAGACTTTAAGAAAAGGATTTAAAATGTTTGACCTTAGTATAAATTATGAGATAGTAAATCAAGATTTTGACTTAATAATGATAAAGCCTTGCAGAGAGTGACATAAAATTATGGGGGTTTAATTAAAATATTGCGCACATCAAAACTTGCTACTAGTTATTTTTGACTTTAACTATCTCTAGAAGCTTACATTTATTTTGATTTACAAAGATTTGTTCATGCATAACATTTCATCTTATTTTGAGTTTTTCCTGGCATGAATTGGCTTCCATACATTTAGACCAACTTCTGCTCAATTACATTTTTATGAGACGTTCTCGCTAAGAAACAAATTCCATTTAAAATAACTTTGACCAATATTAGTATGACCAAAAGCAACTAATAAAGGATACAATTATATTTCCAGTTTACAGTATTGTATCTGACAGGAAGCGTATTTAGTTTTGAAGCCTCTCTCCTGTGCTGAGCTGGCAGTAGCCGTTAGCCTCTCAGGTCAGAGTCTCCCTGCAGGACTTTACCTCACAGCTATCAGCCTCTCCTCCTCCGGGAACTGCTTATTGGAGCCTGGCACAAGAGTGCATGTTCCGGTATTAAATGTGTCTTCATGCATGAATGAGTGGGTGGACGCATGAGTAATATTTATTGCAAACTAGCACAATATGTATATTTTTTATCTTGATCAGGGCTTGTCTGTAAGCTATAACTCTGGCTTCTTGTGTGGTTGCTTGAGCGTTGGTATTTCGTCGCCTCTTAAATGGAGTTTGGTTGCCGTGGTGAGAAGCGTTGTGAATTTCTTGTTAGTTTGATTGATTTGTCAGCTCTGCTCTTTCATAGGGTCAATGTGTCCAAGTTAGCTCGGCACATCCTTTCACAAAGATTTACTTTAAAGGACAGTCTTGCTGTTCCCATACCAATAAAGAGTTGTGACTCCTCACGTGTTGGACATGGATTTCGTAATCTGAGATTGAGTAAAATGGCTTTTTCCTTTTCTCCTCCTACTTGATGCTCAGTTCCTTTTTCCTTTGTCAGTAAGCCTTTCTGCTGCAGACGTGCTGACGGCAGCAGCGGTGTCACCGTTTTTCACTTCTCTAGTCTACAAAACTGTGGCATTTTCTTAAAGGTCCCCTATTATACAAATGTTCAACAATATATCATAGGTCTCGGATATATACAAAACATGTCTCTGAAGTGTTTGGCACCAAACAGATCATTGCAGCATCCCATAATCCCCTCTGTTTCAGCCCTGTTTCTCTGTCTGTTACTTTAGATGAAAATAAGGAGCCCCTCCCCACGCCCCTCTGAGAGATATCTGGTTAAAAAGAACACAATGGTGCTCTAGGAGGAGATTCAGGTGATAAGGTGGGGGGGGGGGGTTACCTTGGTTGGTGATTGGCTAATGGTTACACAAGCCAAAAAAACGTTATGACATCATAAAGTGCCCAAAATCTGATCAGCTCATTTTCAGACAGGTTTTTATATAAATGGATCAGGACAAAAAGAGGGGGGGTCTTTTTTCCTGAAACTTTCAGAATCTCTTTACACAGAGGGGACACATGTTGATGTATAAAAGACATGAAAAAGTGGATTTTGCATAATAGGTGACTTTTCTTTTCCATTCTCTCAATATCACAACCCTAACCCTAACCCTAACCCTAACCCTAACCCTAACCCTAACCCTAACCCTAACCCACACTCCAAATGTGTACTTACATATGCAACCAGCAGCCAGCATCCTGTTGGCCAGGTACGGAGCTATACAGGTGGGGAAGATGGGCTGCACCATGTAGTTTGAGAACGTGATGGCTATGACGGCCTGGCTGGTGGGCTCTATGATCAGCAGCGACGTCCACAGGCGGATGAAGGCCATGAAACCCCCAAAGGCCTCCAGGATATAGGCGTAGGAGGCCCCGGATTTGGTGATGGTGGTCCCCAGCTCGGCGTAGCACAGGGCGCCGAACACGGAGAAGATCCCCCCGACGGTCCACACCACCAGGGAGAGGCCGTAGGAGGCGCTGTGGATGAGGACGCCCTTGGGTGAGACGAAGATCCCCGAGCCGATCATGTTCCCCACGATCAGGCAGACCCCGTTCAGGAGGGAGATCTCCTTCTTCAGCTTCATGGACTCCCCTTTCTTTGCAGACGGGGGGCTGCCATTGCTCTCCTCTTCCGTTGGGGCGGGGCTGTAGGACGCCATTGTTCGTGTTTTTGGTGTTTTTTAAATATATAAGTTAGAAATGGGAATATTTCAGTCACAATTGGAGAGTTTTTCTCGTTGATGTGTGACTGAAGACTGGTCAACGTTCCCGGCGGTTATCTATCGTCATCTCCTTCCATCTGTGGAGGACACACACGTCATATCAGTGATGCTGTCACCATAGAGACTGATTTTCAGGACACACATAAAGCAAATACTTGTGTTGTTTCAATCCTGTCCCAATCAAACAAAAACATATTTACATGCCCAAAGCGCTAATGTGAGAACAAACATGCAAAGAAAATCATACATTAGTGTGGACACTGGTGGATTTAGGGGCAGTTTGGTGGATTGGAGAGCCATTAGGCCGCACAGCAAATGGCCTTTTAAGGTTGAGTGTATTGACAGAGAGGAAAGGAGCAAACACACCACATGCCTGAAAACACTGGCTCTTCATTAGTAACCATACAAGCTGAGGAAGAATTACCAACACACACACAAAACAATTTTGACTCATAGCTGTCCACACACACACACATGCAGAGTTAGTGTCAGCAGAACTGGTCACATGTTTTCCAAAGTTCATCATCCTCAGCATGTATGGGGTTTGATGATGAGACAAAAACATGGTTCATGTCCCTCTGAGATAATAAACCCACAATCAAGTGTACAAACACTAAGTTAATGGAGTAAGACGTGCTGCTTCAAGGTCAAGATAGCGGTAAGGTTTTTAAAACAAATTTGCAATATGCTGAATCAAAATGTGTTTCATTTAAGAAAACAAGATTGTTTTAGGCGATTTATGGGTGAAATAATGTCCCAACACACCTGTATTTATTTGAACGTTTTGGATGTAACTGTTTAAAGACTATCTATACATTTTCTCACCTTCTAAAACGTTTAAACCCAAGGTGATATTCCACCTTTAAATCACCCAAAAGTGTTTTTCTAGTTAAGATATTTTGTTGATGAGCAGAGCCAGATAGAGACTGATCAAACAACTAAGAACAAAGACTAAGACTGTAGGAAAACTCAAAAATACCTCAATAGAAAGTGAGGTAGATTAAAAAAGATTTTGTTAGATTTACTGCCAGTTTAACCAAGAACATTTGGATTAGTGACAATGACATTTTGTGAGGTGAAGGTAAGGGTTACCTTGAGGCAGCAGCAGATCAGCAGCACGTGGGTTCACCAAGCAGTGACTGTGAAGGAGAAGGACAGTAGATTGTGTCATCCTGCATGTGATCAAACGCGTGCCACAGAGGCGAGGCTCTTACAGTGCAAGGTCCAAAAGCCGCTGATAAGTGTAGTCCTTCATGAGTTACTCAAGGTTACATCCTGGATACAGAAAATCCTCTCAACTCAAGTGTGTTGGGAAATATTTCAGCCCCTTCTTACAGGCACTGAAACGCACCGTTTATTATCTTAAGGATGTCATGGAGGAATCATCTGGTTACAGGATGTCTAACTTGGAACAGTAAATACAGTTATTTTGATTTGTTTCATCATTTTGAAATAATAATTATAGTATGAATCTACAATAAGCCTACCTCAAAATCCAATGTATTGCCATATGCACAAAAGCTACAGCTAGTTTGCAATGGAAATATGATGCTACTCCAACAGTAAAACATACTTAAGACTTTAAACGTTTTTTTTAAATCACAAATATCAAAATAATGGGGCAAGAATAAATAAATAATATACATGTAGAACTAATTGTGCCTTATTGGATTTCAAGGACCACTTATTTCCGTGATAAAGGCATCAAGGCACACGTGTACTGACATTACATGTTCATAAATGATACACAGGCTGGCGTTGTAAACCTGTAGATAGACTGAGATAGTAGAAGCAGCAGTTTTTGGGGAGACTTACCTTCTCCAGAAACGTTTTTATCTCCCAGTGTTTCCTCTTGATCCCAAATGATTTCTTATTTCTTTCACCTCTTCTCTTGCTTTGCGTCTTTGCGCAGCTGTTTCCTGAGTCCTGACTGTTCCTCTGCGCTCCTCAGCTCATGAACTTGTGCCTTTTAAGTACTTCTACTATCGAGGAAACGAGTCACCCGAGGGGAGGGAGCAAGGGGGAGAGTAATGGCATCGCATTGTGTCTCCTGAGTGAGTTGTTACAGAATTATAGGGTTTTAATTAAATTATCTCGCACATCAAACACGTGTTATCAAGTGTGGAGGAACTGGTCGGTGGATGTTACAGAGGGAGTGACTGTGAGGCAATGCAGAGCGTTTATAATGGTTATATTATAATAACAATAAAATGTTGTAAACTCATCATTTCTAAAGCAATCAACATTGTTTTGATATGACTCATACTAAGCACTTAACGTTGGAAGTAATACATTTACTCAAGCACTGTACTTCATTTCTCATTTGAGGTACTTTTATTCCAGTAATTACGTTTGTATGTTACATAATAAGACAAAGACATGGCACTGTGTACATTTATTTAGATATTTACAACAGCCTTTAAATAATCCGATTGTTAATACAAAATCTTATCATCAGAGAAAATATGATATGTTATTAAAGATTACAATATAAGAAGAAGAAAATAGAATTCATTTATTTTTGCAAGTTGCTAATCTGCATAATGATTTACTTTTGGTACTTACAGTATTTTATTGGTTATAATTTTGTTAATTTGAAAAAAAATGTGGATGCAGGTTATGCTTTTTAACTTATCAGTATGTATGGTATTTCTATTTGTACTTAAGAAAATCCGAGTGTAAATGACCTCAAATCAAACAAAGATAATACCATCATTGCACATGGACTGTCAACAGTTCCACTTGTTTGATGAATCGTTGACAGACAATAGCTCCCTCTTGTGGATTTATAATATATTGAAGAAACACTGTCTCAGATATGACTTTACAGGATAAAATATACGTATCACAAATTGGGATTGTTTTTTCGTTGCAACAGCATGTAAAACAGAGTATTGCACATAATAAGAAATACAAAAGAGTAGAAACTAAACAATTATACAATGTGTATATAAAAGATGACCGTGAAAATCTGACAAATAAAACACTATTGAAGGGGTAAATTACAGCTCACACAATATAAAAGTGGATATTATTTACATTTAGGGTGCAAGAATGGCATATTAAATTAAATATCAATTTAACATTTACAGTGTGAAGTTATAAGTCCAGTTAACAAAAGATAAACTATAAAGCAAATAGTTATCTGACCTTTAAAAACTCGTAACAAGAGAGTGTAGAAGTTACATAAAGGAATTATTATCTATTCTCGGTTTTTATTGTAGTGGTGTGTACATTCGGGACATTAATGACATTTTGAACTATTCTTGTACAAATTGTAAAATAACTTTATTAAAAATAACAAAAGTCTCCAGACACAAAAAGCATTTATAAGCAGTATACAAAACATTTAATCAATGGGTTATAACACATTATATAGCTATAAGAAAAGTGCTTAATACAATTAACTTACCTGTGAAGTGTTACTGTATTAGCATTTATTATATTGTTAATACAGCTAACTCCACTTATGGGCAAACATGGGAAGATGTATTATAGTGTGTTGATAGAGATGTTCAATCTATTAAATGTTTATATTTGGCTACAAAATACTAAATTGGGAGCCTTAAGATAAGTGCTTTCCATTAGGGTTTAACATAAGTTTCTTTGTTTTGTTTGTCGTTCTTTATAAATAGGGGGACAAAAACGTTTTAATAAGCATATAATTAAAAACATTGACTGCGTGATTCCGTCACATTTCAGTTGAAAGGCAGCTGTAATGACCAAAACCACGCTAATCAACGGCCAATGTGGGAACAAAGAACTGTTTGTCTTCCAGATAGATGTTGACTCTTCTTTAATTGTAGGTTAAATATGCACATTACATCAACAAACGCTTTTCTGATGATTTGTGATCGACCGTCTCCATCACACCTGTTGACTTCTGTCTTCACCTCCATCTCTCTGATCCTTTTCTTAAACTGAAAACTATTCAACTTTTTGAAAAGAAGGGGAACAAACTTCTCACACACTCAACAAATGACTTAAATTAAGTGTATTTTGTCAACAGGTTCCACTTTATTTTATCAAGTCACTTAAAAATATTAAGATCATAATAACTTAATACACTTGTTTAACAAGAACACAACTCATTTTAAAATACGACTTCTGATCAACAAGATATGAAATCAACTTAAAAGAAAATAACTTTTTGTCTGTCTATTACATAGAATTAAGGACTTCTAAAAACGATGATTGATGTTGATTAAAGCTATTTGATAATGTGTTACATGTGACCGCCCCTCCCCATCACACCTGTTGACTTCTGTCTTCACCTCCATCTCTGCTCCTTTTCTTAAACTGAAAACTATTCAAACTTTTCTTTTTCTTTCTTTCTTTTTTGATTGAGACACGTCCCTTGTCGCCCACGAAAGCATGTGGACAAACTTCTCACACATGGCTCTTTTCACTCCTTTTGTCCCGCTCTCTGCCCCTGAGCATTCTTCTCCTTGGTTACTGGTTGTCATGGATTCAGGAGCCCCATGTAGGCTAAAAAACGGGAGGGATTAAAGGCAGCCATTTTGGGGACAGCTGGGCCAGGTTGGTCCCTGTTGCCCCCTGTCCCGCTCCCAGTCACTCTGGGGGGAAGAGGGGTGGCATTGTGTGAGGATTAGAGCTTCCTGTGTGTCAGCTCATTACATGGGGTGGGAGGAGGGGGGGGAGTACAGGGGTGAGCAGAAAGAGTGAGGGAGAGAAATGAAAGAGAAAATGAAAGAGGGTGCGTATAAAAGAGCGTATGACACAGAGAGGGGAGGGAGGGAGGTGGCGGCCTCTACAGCTGCACCCTCAATCACACTCATACAGGCTCTGATTATCCTTTTCACACACACACACACCCACACACACACACACACACACACGCACACGCACACACACACAGTAGTGGGGAACTGCAACATATTAAAAGACATTGAGGACAAAAAAAGGCAGAATTAGTAGACAGCTAGCCCAGACAAAGAACCCCCCCGATTCCAGACACACCGAGAGCTGGAACAAACAAGCGAAAACTGACCAACAGCACACAGAATAAGAGTCATGCAAACAGAATACTTAAACAGATAAATGAATTCACAAAGACAGGCTTAAACTGAACCCAGAACAACAAAATATACAGAAAACCACAGACGAGCAACAAACCGGTCTCCTCTTCACATCGCCATTGTTTTATTTATCTTTTATACATCACATGGGAGTCATGGGAACATAGTTTGTCATTGCTACAAAAAAGGGGTTTACAAGGAATACTAAACTGGGTGAAGCAGGAATGCAGTGAGTGCATACAATTTCTGCAGGCGCAGAAAACTCTCAAGTGCTTTGAGAGAGAGGGGAGCAGGGGGAATGGAGGGGGAGAAAGATAAAGGGGGGGGGGGGATATAACAGACAGGGCTCATCCTAGTTGTCGGTTTGACCCGGGAGGTGATACCGACACCAAAAAAACATTTACAATCATCAGTTTGAATAAGCTGCAAGCAACTTTTACAGCAATAAGTACAAGGACTTCCCACAAAAGTACTGATCATCTAACACACCATTATTATTATCATCATGGTTATCATCATTGCTAATGTGTTTTAAGAAGATGTCTCGGAAGCACAGGACACAGTGCAACTCTCAGTGCAACTCAGCACATCAGAAACATGCTTTTAGCAGCATGGCATTAAGAAAAAAGTCAGATAAAAAGGCATAAAATGTAACCGCCACTCATATTTACAGACATTGGCCATTACTAAACTGGCCTATTTTGGTATGGAGTTCATCTTGTCAAATGCTGGATCGTCCCTCTTCTTCAAATCAGCTTATACAGTATGTGCCGAAAAAGGTGTCAGCAAACGAAAGCGCAAACAAATAATTCTCATTGTGACAATTCGGTGAAGTGTGTAAGATAAGGCCTCACTGTGGTCTTTGAAATACAAAAATAACATAGCTAAAATACTACATTCACAAATGTCTTGCAAAACTACAACTTCATCTATCTGCCTATTACAAAAGGTAAACATGAATTAGAATTAATGTCTACAAAAACAAAGGTCGTTCTATTAAAAAAAAAATACATTCCCTTGTCAGGACCCTTTTAAAGACTGACTGCAGCCGCTCAGTGATTCTAACTCTACACAGTAGTGTCCATAGGCTCGACCGGAACAACACCGATCGCTTTAGTATCTGTGCTGTCCTCCTTCTCAGGTGATTTAGCCAATCCCTGATTTTCTTCTTGCTCTTCCGGGCTCTTATTGGCTGAATTTGAGCTGCAATCCTCCGCAATGTCAGTGTCATTGGTTTGAGCCTTGACGGGGGTTGATGCTCCAGGATGAGTTTTCATATGACCCTGTTGATGGAAGACACAACATATTAGTTATTGAGCCACAATGGAGGAAATCTTAACCTGACAAAAAAACGCATTACCCCTTAAAAATATTCCTTTTACAAACTCAAAATCATTATCTTTTGATCTAAGTTAGTCAACCCATTTTTTCAACCCTTACCTTAAGTCCACTGCGACTGGCGTAGGCCTTCCCGCACTGGGAGCAGCTGTAGGGTTTGTCAGAGCGAGGAAGCTGGGCTGGGATGGAGGGCTCTTGTTCCTCTGAAGGCTTTTCGTGCCCGTCGTTACTCTCCTCCATTGGAGCATCCTTCTCCGACTCTGAGTCCAGCGCAGGCAAAGGCTCTTTTGTTGTCGTGGTGTCACTCTTGCCTTTGCTTTGGGAAGCATCACTCTCTTGAGCCTCCTGTGGGTCATTGCCACAGGCCTCTTCAGCCTCAGGGATAGCTTTGGGGCTGGCAGGTGGGGTGAGTGCAGGTGACGGATTTGCAGCTGGGGTTTTGGGGATGGAATCAGGACTTGTAGTGGGTTTGTCTGTGGAGCAAGCTTCATCATTATTAACCACGGATTGCAGCGTATTATTGTTTGCTCCAGGCTTTGAAACACACAGAGATAAAGGGGTGTCATCTGCCTC